CGGAGGAGGAGGGAAGAGGAGGGCGAGGAGCAGGAGGCAGTCGTCCACGGGCTGGCCGCGCGGGTGCCCTCGGGAGCTGGCACGGCCCGCCGCCGATCCTCAGTCCGTGTTGTCGGTGCCCCAGCCGGCGGCCTCCATGGCCTTGCTGTCCCACTGTTTGTCCCTCGTGTTCTCCGCCTGTGGGGAATCTTCCCTCCAACTCGAACGCTCCTCCACCTCCTCTTCCTCCTCCTCCTCCTCCTCCTCAGCACTAGCAGCACCACCCTCATCATCCTCATCGTCAGTATGCTCATCATCTTCATCATTTCCTATCATCATCATGATCCTGATGATGATGATCATCATCATCACCACCATCACCACCACCACCACCACCACCACCACCACCACCACCACCACCACCACCACCACCACCACCACCCATCACCACCACCACCACCACCACCACCACCACCACCACCACCACCACCATCACCATCACCACCACCACCCCGCCGCCGCCGCCGCCGCCGCCGCCGCCCATCATCATCCATGTGCTCCCCCTCGTGCATTTACTCCTCCTAGCTCCGCCTCGTTTATACGGTCAGGAATTGTTGCTGTGCGTGTCGAGGCGGCGGTCCCAACGGCACGCTATCTCATGCAAGGGGATAGCGTGTCGTTCCGTTCCGCGGGGCGGGAGGCTCGGAAAAGGCTCGGGACGTTGAGGACTGGGGATTGGGAAGTGGATGGCGTGTCGCGCCGAACCGTGGTGGGCCAGAACCTGCGGAGCGACACGCTATTCCAAAGTTCCCGATCGCATCCTCCCCCTCCTCCTGCACCTCCTCCTCCTCCTCTTCCTCATTCTCTTCCTCCTCCACCTCCTGTTCCCCGTCGGTCTCTTCATGTTCCGCCTCCTCCTCCTCCTCCTCCTCCTCCTCCTCCTCCTCCTCATTTTGCACCCTGACCAACTCAGCCATGCGCACAGGCTGGATGAATACCGTGCTGGGGCACGGCCAAGATTTCGCAAGACATGGGGTCCGTGGGACGGCCAGCGGAAGACCATCACGAACACACCAGACTACGTAGCCTTTCAGAACCTGAGCTCGTTGTTTTCCCAGACTCCCGCAGCTCCTGGGGATCCGAATTCGATCCGCTGACCACTTGGCCTAGGAGTCAGCTTCACCATTGCCGAACTTCGACGAGCCTCCGACTCGGCGCCGCCCATCATGCTTGAGCGGGCGGTGTGGGCCAGCACCTTGGCAAGCGAGAAAACGCTCACCAGCTCCCCCCAATCGCGAATCCGAGCCCGCACCATTCGCCGCATCACAGACCAAGCACTCTTGCTGCTACAACAGGCCTGCTCGCCTCGAACCCTGGCACCAGAGCGCGCATAGCCTGAGTCTGTGCAGAAGGTCGTGCCTAGTGGGCTGCGCTGGAGACTTCGTTACAACGCAGTCAGTTCAGCGGCGCCAGTAACAATCTCGACATGAGGCAAGACGCCGCACATGGCAGAGACAACGCGATGACGACGACGGCAGAAAGCGAAAATGGCTTAGCCTGCCGTCTGCGCCTGGGCGGGCAGGCGTTGGTCCATCTGCGAGCCGTCGAGGAACACGTGGCCACCCATCTCTGCGGGTCCGCCCGAGAACCACCGATCTGGGACGGTGGATGAGGCGGGCAGAGGGGCGCCCGGCACGCGCAGTCTCCCAGCAACGAAGAACGAGGCAGGGGAGACGCGGCAGCTCTGGCCAGGGAGGTGAGGCACGTGGGGGTCTGGTCTGAACTCATGCACTGATCCTGCGCGCCGCGCGCAAGATGCCCGTGCGCCAGCGTGCGCGGCGCGCTCGTGCACGCGCGACTCCAGCAGAATCGCTGGGCCCATGCTCCCACCGCCTGCGCCGAGGCCACAGGCCTCCAGAAACTACAGGCTTGATGCATGCGCGCCCGAGGGGCAGAAGCTTCGAGCCATTCACTAGCTCCACGAGCGGGGCGACGCTGCTACTCTGAATTCACTCCAGGACGGCCTCTCGAACAACGCCCATAAACCAGAGCCGATAACCGACGACGCGGGTCAACCGCCTGACCGCAGCACGCGGCCCGTTGCCGACCGCAGCAATCCGCCCCCGGGCGGCGCGGCCCAAATCCCTGAATGGCGAGGCCGATCCTGAGAGCTGCGGCAGCACGAGCAGAAAACGGACCGCGGACGCTGCCCCGATGGACTGCCGCTGTGCTGCAGCCGCGCAACAGTATCCGCCGCGCCTTGCTCGAACACCCCGCGCGGCAGCAGGCCGTTCCTGACGGCGGCGGCACGCGTGCTGAGCGGCTCAATGTTGAGACGATGCGATGGGTGGATTGTTTGCGCCCAGGCGAGCATTGGCACTTGCATCGCGCTGCGACCAGACAAACTTTGAACATGCACATGAGCCTGAAGCGCGCGTGCCACTCGAAGCTCGGTGCAATTCGCGCCATGGGCAGCGCCCTCGTACCTGGCGGAGGCCAAGCAGGCAGATGGCACCATGCCATGGACCCGCCGATTTTAACATCCGCGGAGAAACTCGCGAGCTCGCGAGCCCGCGCAACGGCGGGCCCCCTTCGAGCTTCGAGCGCCCCGATGGGGAGACGCGACCAGCGGCAAAATTGATGCCGAGGCTTCTCTCGCTGGAGGCCCCCTCGCATGAAACCGACGCGTTCGCCTCGCAATCCGACCCCCGAGCCCGGCAGCGACGCGACCGTCTCGCGGCGGGCGCCAAGGCGCGCGCCTTTCAGCTCGGCATGCAGCTCGCCCGCGGCTCCTACGAGGCCCATCGCAACGTCGCGGTCTCTACCAGCCAATTGGAAGCCAGAGTCGTCGACCACCAGGCCACGGGCCATGCGCGGATATACCTCTCTGACGGCATCCACGAGGCCAGCTAGGAGAATCTGTGACCTGAGCGCAGCAAATAGGGGAACGAAGAATGACATAAACATAAAAACTCGAAGGTCCGCGCGGATTTCTTGGATCCGCGCGGGGCCCCCCCCCCGGAGCGGCGCCGGGGGCGGCGCTGGAGGCGCCGCCAGGGGTCCGGCGCGGATCCGAGAAATCCGCGCGGACCTCCGAGTTTTTTTATGTTTATGCCATTCTTCGTTTCCCTAGAAAAGTGGCAGCTCAGCGCCCGAGGCACCCGATGCCGCTCGACAAGAAGCGCCAGCTGACGGAGCGGAAGCCCCGTGCGCTGCGCAGCGGGGGCGCGCGCTCGGAGCGCCGCGCGTGCTCTCGAACGCCTCTGGGAGGTCTGAAACAAGGAAGCCTGCCGCGAGCTGCGTCTCTGCGGCCCATTCGGCCCCTGCGGTCTGCGCGCAGACCAATTGATCTGGACGGCGGCCCTTGGCTGACCACCAAAGACTTTAACCCTGACGTTCCACTCTGCGCTGCGGCAGACCGACCTCTGCCGCGGCAACAGGGAAACAGAAGCGGCGGCCGCAGAAGCAGGAGCAGGCGCGCGAGGGGGCATCAGCTCTCGACGCCGCCGCTGCCCGCGGGGCCGAGGATGGGGGGCGCGAGCACGAGGGCCCACGGCCGCTCCGGGACTGCACCCCCGATGTGATTCCAATCGACCGAAGTTCCGGGCAGCGCTCAGGCTGACCGCCAGTGCGGCCCAGGGCCGGTCTCTTGCCACTTCGCAGTAAGCAAATTGCGAAGCCTACCCTGGATCCGAGCCAAGAGATGGACGAGGGCAATCGGTCCGAGACCGCCCTCGCGCCCAGCGAGGAAAACCACCTTCGCCCAAAACCTCGGCCAGCAGCATTCGAAACCGATATCTTCGAACGAGCCGATGAAGATCACGAGGCCAACATCCGACAGAGACAGCAGCCGGCGAGGAGTGACCCGGTCGAAACCGCACTCCGACTTCGGAGAGAAAACGCGAATGCTACCCCTGGGCCCCCGAGCGACGGCCGTGGAAAAGGGTGGCCGAGATCCCCGGGCCAGGCGACGGCGCCCTCCACGGCCCCGACGCGCCACCAGCGAGCGCCCCCGCTCTTCCTCGAGGAACTAACTCATGACGCAGCGTGGCAGGCTGGATCTTGAGAGCCTCCGCGCTGATCAAATTAAAATAACTAGCATGTCATGGGACGGGCGGCTCATAAGCAACGCGGATCGCAGCCCCACCGATCCAGCTGCGGCCCTTTGCCCAGGCACGCCAAGCACCCCTCTTCGACTTCTCGGAATCGCGGAACGCGCGATCGCCGAGCTGTTTGGTAGCATCCGCTGCAGCTGCAGCCAGCTCATAGTGCATGCACCAAGCAAGACTGAAAAGCTCTTGCCACGGACGTGCTCGATTGAACCCAACTGCAGCTGAGCCGCCGCGAGCCTGGGCCCGATGAGCGAGGCGAAAGGTTAAACCTCTGAGCGGGTCTGGTCGCCATCGACTGAGCCCCGGAAAGCAGCGAGCCAGAAAACGCCGCCAGAGCGAGCGAGGCGAGCGCCTGGGGCACTCGAGGTCCTCAGGCAATGCTGGCTACTTAACTACAGAGAGAGAGAGAGAGAGAGAGAGGCTCGTCACGGGCGACTCGGAGGGCGCGATGTCGCAAACGTCGGCGGGGTCGAGCTCCGCGGCCTGGATCCAGCGCCGCCACTCGGCGTCCACGGTGCCGCCCGTCACGTCTAGCTCCGCGTCGGGCCACAGCTGCACGGGGCCCTGCCCTCTGCGCCCCCGGCACGCCAGCAAGGAAACGCCTGAGGATGCAAGCCGCCACGTAACCGAAATTAACCGACCCGCACGCGCGCGGCGCGAGCATGACCGGCATGTGGGGTGCCGTGCCCATGTCGGCGTTAACCTCCACGGTCGCGTCGTACTGCAGTTGCGCCGACACCGCGAAGCAGCCCAGCACCGCGCCGTCAGACTCCGACGGGTTGGGGCGCGTAGCTGCCACTGGAGCCAGTACGTCACTGGAGCCAGCACGTCTGCATCAAGGGCCTGTGGCCATCCCGACTCGCAGAGAATTTCGGGCGTCATGTTGAAACCGCCGCACACAGGGAACGGCATGTTGGCCACCTTGAGAACAGCTCTCACAGCCTCGAGCATCTGCCAATTCCTCGGCGAGTGCTGCTCGATGTCGTGCATGTACAGCGTAACCCACGGGGAACCGCCAGGCATGATGTCCGCGGCGCGTAGCGCCACGGCGCGGCCGCCACATATCGATGGGGGGCAACCATCTGCAGCAAGCCGCCACTGGTGTCCGTGCCCTGGCCAGAACTCGCGGCAGGCTCCATCCTGCCGCGCCGGACTGCCTTGTGCAGATTGCTCTCCCATGAAGCACGCGTGTCTATCTGGTGATGCTCCTGCAACCTTCGACATGAGACTGCTGAACACGCTGATGCTTGACCAACGCCTCTAGGCCGAGGAGCCCTGTGACGATGCTGCTGACGAACGTCCACTTACTAAAGTTGCTGCGCTGCAAGATCTTCGGTCCCACAACCAGAAAATGCTGCACTGTAGTTGCCTCGCAGCTTCTTGACAGCCTGCTTCCACCGTGCTTCTGCATGAACTGCTCGATCTCAAGGGGAGCTGTGAGCCTGGGCGGACTCCAAGTACGCGAAGAGCTCCGTCTGTGACTGGGTCGCGCGCTCAGCTTCAGCAGCGGCAGCCGCGGCGGCCGCGGAGCAGTGCTGCTCTGCCAGCGGCGCCTCCTGCATGCTGGGCCGCGGGCTGAGCAGCAAGGCCACCAGCAGCGCCAGACCCGCCAGCAACAGCAGCAGGCCCACCAACCGCAGGCGGGCGGAGGGGCCTCGGGCGGCACCGCGTTTTGCAGCACAGGCAGGAGCTGCTCGAGCGCGCCTGCGACCTGGGCCAGCTTGGCGCTGCCGGACCCGTTGGTGAAGGACGCCACCAGCTGCTTGAGCTGCTCGGCGGGATCGGCCTGGCCCGTGGCGGTAAAAGGCGGCTGCCACCTTGGCGAAGGCGGCTCGGGCTGCAGTCTCTGCTGCCTCGGCAAGATCATTTTTGCACTGGGCTGCGTGAGCCACTGCCTTGTTAACTGCATCTTGAGCACGATCAAATGCACGCTGCGCCTTGACACGCTTATCCTTGAGAATATCCGGATCAAGGCGAACAGCCTTCGCATATGCACGGGGCTTACCATTGAGCAGACCCCTCTGAGCAGCTACGCGACAAATCGCCTTGGTTGGCCAATCACTCGAGAGCTGTTCGAAATCAGCGGCGGGCATCTTGGCGTAGATATGCGCAGCCTCCTCCGACAAGAACACCTTGCCACGAGGCGGGCCCTTAGCCCATTCACCAAGATCGCGATTGCCGCGTGCAGCGCCAGGCTGGCGACCAGCAGAATGGCCACAACGAAAGCAACTCTTACGCCAGCTGTAGCTGAACTGGCAGCCGGACTTCTTGTGACCAAAGGACCAAGCCGAGAAATCAGGTGCACCATTGAGGGCCATGCCTGTTCCGAAGTGGCGAGTGCACAAGGAGTAAAGAGTTAAAAGCAGGCGGGGGCCGTTGATCCCCCCACGCTACATCGCTCAAGTCCTGGGAGCCACAACGCTACGGCCTTAAGCCAAAATGGTTACGGACCTCCTCCTGCTCCCCCTCCTCCTCCTCCTCCTCATCCTGCTGCTTCCTTCTCTCCTCCTCCTCCTCTTCCTCCTCCTACTATAACTACAACTACAACTACAACTACAACAACAACAACAAGAAGAACTACTACTACTACTACTACTACTACTACTACTACTGCTACTACTACTACTACTACTACTACTACTACTACTACTACTACTACTACTACTACTACTACTACTACTACTAATACGACTACTACGACTACTACGACTGGCCTACCACCACTACTACTACTACTACTACTACCACCACCACCACCACCACCACCACCA